GAGCATGTATAGATATATATGAGGCATAAAATAGATATACATATATGGGGCAGATATATACACAATGGAGTTTCATTTAGTCATAAAGAAGGATGAAATCATATTATTTGCAGAAAAATGAATTGAACTTGAGAACATTATGTTAAGGAGAATAAGTCAAACTCAAAAAGTCAAGAGTCGTATATTTTCTCTAATATGCTGAAGCTAGAGAGGAAAGAGGAAAAGAAAGATGGGGAGGATCTCATAAACATCCAAGGGAGATGATCAGTAGCATAGAGGAAAGGGACCAGTGGGAGGTAGGAGGGGTGGAGGAGGGGACTGAGAGGAAAGTGCTGGGGAGTGATATTGGCCAAATTATATTGTTATATTATGCGCATGTACAAACATTTAACAAAAAATCCTACCTTTATAGAAGAACTATAATGTACCGATGAAAAAGATGAAAAATATGGGGGAAAAGCCAGGGTCAGGAAAAGATGGTTTTCACCATGTTTGATTACCACAGGAGACTACCTTCACTGGCCCCTGTCTCAGGAGGGTGGAATGGAATGGGCAACAGTCAAATTCTGATGGTCACTGGCCATTTACTCAGCACCTACCATGTGCCAAACACCACTCTTGGCATGAGCATGAAGGTCCAGCAAAGAAAAACACTGATGGAGTGCCTGTCTTCATGGAGCTCAGTAGGACAGATAGGCAGCAAAGAGATAAGTAAGTGCAAGGCAGAGGGGTGACTATTGTGGTAGGAAGTGCAAAGGTGAAGCTGATATGGTCTTATTCAGAGGAGCTCAGGGCCTAGTGGGAGATAAGCACCAGCAAATGAAGAATTCCAACAGAGTGGCAGAGTCTAAGGGGGAAGGGAGCTCGGGATTCTGGAAGCACCGAAGAAACACATCCCTCTGCTAGGGAAGAAGAACGGGCTGCACATAGGAGGGATCATTAAAGCACATCTTGGAGGATGAAATGGCCTGGGACTTAGGTAGTCTAGGACTCCAGGATACTATCAACACAATTTCCCACCTTTAAGTGACCATGACCTTGGAGTAACTGCTGATTTAATTCCCATGCAGTGAGCAGTAAAGAGTTAAATGTCATTTCTGCCAGTCCTTTTAAGGTTCTTGAAATCCCAGGGGAGGAAGGACTCTAATCCTGCCTCATAGTTGTAGTAGGAATGCTTTAAAGGGAGGAAACTAGGAAACATCAAAGACAGGGTGTGTTTCTTGATGAGTGGAGAAAGCCCTGGGTTTGAATTACAGCTGCACTGCTAACTAAATAACGATGTAAATAACTCCATCATCATCAAAACTCTGACCTTTCTCTTAGACTCAGTTTCTTGATCTGTAAAATGGTAATAGTCTTGTCTGCCTGTCAGTATGATTATGAGGATCAAGTGGAGTGATCCAGGGTGGGGGCTTTACAAACTATGAAGCCTGATACAAGTGTCAGCTATTGTTTCTTGGTAGGGGAGTGGTGGCAAGAGGTCAGGGGAGCAATTGGGCTTTACTCCTTATGTCCTCTGCTGGGAAGGCAGTCTTCACCTGATAAAACAATCAGGCTTCCTGAGGAGATGGCTCAGCCCTTTCCATCCTTCATGCTGAGTGACAGGGTAAAACAGTGACATACCTGCGTAGCTAGCCATCCTGGGTCCAGGTTGTCTTCACAGTCTGAGGGATACTATGAGTCCTGCTGTATTGATCTGGGGGACAGCAGAATGTATCCAGAAATCCATAAAGCCTGGCAAAGATCGAGAGCACATTGAGAACAATCGAAAAGGGAAGAAATACTTACAGAATAAGAAGAACTGTGGACCAAATGCAGCCACGCTAGATAGAGCCCAGTAGATCTACAGCTGAACTGCATAGCCCTCATATAACATGAACAAGAAATAAACTGGTGTGTTTGACTGTTGAACTACAGACCCACCAGCCCCTAACAATAGGACCTACCACCATGTTTTTTTTTTGTATAGCCTCTGAACTATGTTTTTAGATTTTTAAATGGTTGAAAACACATCAAAAGAAAAATTGTATTGGGGCTGGGGATGTGGCTCAAGCGGTAGCGCGCTCGCCTGGCATGCGTGCGGCCCAGGTTCAATCCTCAGCACCACATACCAACAAAGATGTTGTGTCCTCCGAGAACTAGAAAATAAATATTAAAAAAAAAAAGAAAAATAGTATTTTATAGCCTGTGATAATAATGTGAAATTTACATTTCCAGGCCCATCAATAAAGTTTTATTGGAGCATAGCCATGTTTATCTATTTACACAGTGTATGTGCCTCCCATTGTGCTCCAGTGGCAGGGTTAGTAGTTGTGATGGACACTGTGTGGTCTACAAAGCTGAAATCAGGGCTGGGGATGTGGCTCAAGCAGTAGCGCACTCGCCTGGCATGCGCAGGGGCGCTGGGTTCGATCCTCAGCACCACCAAAAGCTGAAAAATAAATATTAAAAAAACTTTCTCTCTCTCTCTTTAAAAAAAAAAAAAGCTGAAATCATTTACTATGTGACCCTTTAAGGAAAAAAAAGTGCCAGATTCTGGCTTAAACCCGAAGATAGTAGGATTATTTGTTTGGCATCTAAGTAAAGGGTGACTGGTATATATTCTAGTACCTAAATTCACCAAGCCTCGGTTTCCTCGTCTGCTGAATGGAAAAGGATTAGGACTTTCCCCATTGATTTTTTTAAAAATACTTTTTTAGTTGTAGATGGACACAATACCTTTATTTTATTTTTATGTGGTGCTGAGGATCAAACCCAGGACCTCACACATGGAAGGTGAGCCTCAGTCTACCACTGAGCCCCAGCCTTGATTTTTTATTTTTGCTGCTGTTGTTTTCTGGGGGTGTTGCTGCTAGAGGTTGAAGCCAGGAGAGCTCTAATACTGAACTGTACCCCCCAGCTCTTTTTGTTTTATTTTGAGACAGGGTCTCACTAAGTTGCTCAAGCTGGCCCCAAACTTGCAATCCTCCTGCGTTGGCATTTCTGGTCATTAGGATTACAGGCCTGTGCCATGCAGCCCACCTTACCAGGTTTTTAGAAAATTAAATCTTAGCTGGCTTTGGTGGCACATGCTTATAATTCCAGAGACTCAGAAGGTTGAGGCAGGAGGATTCCAAGTTTAAAGCCAGTTTCAGCAACTTAGTGAGGCCCTAAGGAATTTAGTGAGACCCTGTCTCAAAATAAAAAAGTAAAAAGGCTGGGGATGTGGCTCAGTGGTTAAACAACTCATACCACCACCACCTCCCCCTAAAAAAAAAAAAACACTGAAAACGAATCATGGTGTAAATAAACCATTGAAGATGAAGATGATGCCCGCCACATAGCAGACATTCCCAATTATGATTAAGGAGCTGTAAACTTCCTACAGCAAACACCAAAAACAGGAAAAAAGACAAAGGAAAGGAAAACAGAAGATAAGGACAAGACAAAATACAGCAGGAATGAAACACTGGCCTAATCCCTTCTGGTCAGACAATGCCCTGGATAAAGTGGTCATACAAAACTAACTCAAGTACAAGATGATTGTAATGAATTGTAAAGTTGACTTTAACTGCTTGGCAAATCTCTTTCAGACTCATCTACAAGATATAGCTTGTCAAGCAAATCTCTTTTGGGCTCAAGTCATAACTTAAGAGTCCCTAAAAGGTATCATTAATGTAAAAAATGTCCTCACTGACCATGCTTCTGGAACTTGGGCTGGTATTCAGATAGTAATTCACCTGGATGTCTCCAATTTGGTAGCTGAAACTTGTTGAAGGGGATGATGGATAATGCTCGGAAAATGGATGGTCACACTGAGCCCCAATCTACATTGACTAAGCACCTGAATCCTGATGGGTAGAAAATTGCATATAAATTGTTTCAGTAGGGCTGGGGATATATAGTTCAGTTGGTAGAGTGCTTGCCTTGTATGCACAAAGTCCTGAGTTCAATCCCCAGCACCACACACACACACACACACACA